GCGTGTTTTTTTAGTTTTTTAAACTATATTTATTTATTATTATAAGAAACTCCAGTTTTACAGCAAATTTTTTGTGTCATACATAAAAAATCTATGTGGAAATAATTCTATTTAAAGGAAATTTTTATAATACTACATATGTTGTATCAACACTGTTTGTTTTATTATTTTAAACACAAAATGCAATAAATACGTGTTATTTCACACTAAGTGAATTGTATTTTGTTCAAAAAATTTCAATCATAATAATAATTAATTATCTTCCATATGTTTTCATTAAAACTTTTCAAGTATAGTGTTTTATTATTTTATGTGATTTTATATACAAAATCAGACACAGCTTCAAAAAAAAAAAACAGACCAGTTAGATATGTTATTAGTGTATTCGGGATGGAAAAAATTAAATGTTGTTAACTACGTAACATATAATATTAATACATATTATCCTAAAAATTTAATTGAAACACCTACACAGAGATCTTTATGTATGATAAAGGTACGTACTTTGACTATATATCTTGGATGCACTTATGCAAAAGTTATAAATAATCTTTTTTCAATTATAATTAACTGCCTAAAAATTTGTACGGAAAATAAAGAAAGAATTTACATTTGTACCGAAGGATTGATAAAAATAATAACTACATTAATTGTTCCAATAGCAACATTGATGAAAGGTGCCATGGACGCTTTAGATTCAATACATAATTTACCATGGGCTGACTTTAAAGAAAACTTTTACAATCACTATATAATGAGTCCTTTGTTGGGGAGAATAGGAGATATTCTTGACAAATTAAACGAACGAACTCTATCACGTGATCAAATATTTACATACATTTAGGCATTTAAAACTATACATTCATTTTCTAATAAAATAATAGAAGATATAAAATATGAAACTGAGTCATATTGTGATTTTGTACCTTATGATAGGAATTATTTATGGTATGAATGGATTCAAGAATATAATACCATTAGTATACACTACGAAATATTAGATTTTTTTAAGTTTTTAACCAAAAACCTTAAAGATTATATCAAGTCAGTTATTATAGAAAATTATTTTCAACTAGGATTTAAATTTGATCCAATTACTGAAGAAATATTTTTACCAAAACATAGAGGGCTAATTATACAAGGTATTTAAAATAATAACAATTTTAATTGAAATATCATTTCATAATTTCATAATTTTTTTTAAAAATCTAGAATTGGAATTTAAATCAATAGATGAAGAACCTCCAACGCTATTAGAAATAGAAACTCATTAAATGTTGTAATAAAATCACTTTTTTTTTATATTATTGTTATATAATTTATCACAGTTTACTTAATTACTTAGTAAATCTATAAATAATTATACAAATATCAATTTTGTATCATACAATTATATATTGGTTGTATTCACAGAAGAGTAAAATATAATATTTATCTTACAAATTATAAAAATTAAAATAATATAAGTAAGATGCAGTTGTTTTTATTGCTAAAAATTTTACTTATGTATGATAATATTATTAAATTCTGATATATTGATCCAAAAATTTGATGATTTTCGGGGTTAAAAAGTATTATAAAAAAGCAGAGCAACCCTTATTCTCGCCTGTTAATTTCGTTATCTCTAACTCTCTATTTAACACTATCAATCTAACTTTTTATTTTTTTTATTTTATTAACTTTTGAGTTAAGATCATTAAAACGTTCTCAGTTACACTCCCCCTTCAATTATGTATAATTATATTATTAACTTCCGATATATTGATAAAAAAAGTTATTATTGACAAGTAATTTTCATAATTAAAGCATTATTTATAAATAACCGAGTTAACAATATATGCTGCCATTTGAAAAAATAAAATGGACAATATATTAAAGCCTTACAGATCAACATAAAAAAAGTTTTTGATAAGAAAAATATGATGAATATAATAGAATGTTTTAATAATTTGATTAAAATATGCTAATTAAAAATTTCTGAAAAATAGGTTTTAATACATTTTTTTTTTTATTTAAAATTTGTAACTTAACACAAAATTAAAAAAAAAACCAAGTACAGGGGGGTCGTGGCATAGTTGGAACAAGTACAGATGATATCTGGCAGTGATTAAAATCACTATCATTAGAAACGCTTCAATGCAAATCTGTAGATAATGCTTAATTTTAAGATATTACTGGACTATTTCAAAAGATATATGTAGTCCTATTTCTTCATTATGCCTATTTATATGAATAAATATTTAATAAATTTATTAAACTTCGACTGTCATTTGCAGAAAAAAAATAGGCCGTTGGGGCAATATTTTTCTATATATATGTTATACAATTAATCATAAATTACTATATTACTGAGTAATATATTATTTTTACGATACTACTGACAAACTTTTTTTTAATAGTTTTAAGTGATAGAACGAAATTCACAACACCATAATTTCAAAAGTAAATGTATTATCGTTAAAGTCTTACACATTATGTATAGGTTAATGGTCAGGAGCTAATTATATAAGGTACGTGAACGCAACTATTTATTAGTAGATACAAGATATTTTAAGTTAAAACAAATATAGTTTAAAAAAACTAAAAAAACACGCTTTTAAAGCACATCGAACTAAAAAGTTAAAAATAATTTTTAAAATAATTATGAATAAAAAATACTAGTATTATTGTGGTAAAAGCGTCGGGCGCTCAATATACGAAAAATATGGCACAAAGCACCCACGCTTTTTTTCACAATAATACTAGTATTTTTCGTTCGTTATTGTTTTAAGCTTATTATAAAAATTATTTTTAACTTTTTAGTTCGACGTGCTTTAAAAGCGTGTTTTTTTAGTTTTTTAAACTATATTTATTTTTTTCTTTTTAGTTTCATGTTATGATAGTAGTTACTATCAATATCATGGTTGTAACGGGTAACGGGAAATCAGGGTACGATTCCGGGGAGGGAGTCTGAGAAACGGCTACCACATCCAAAGAAAGCAGCAAGTACGCAACGTGGAGGTAGTGACGAAAAATGACAATACGGCAATCATTCCCCGTAATCGGAATAAATACACTATATATCTCTTAATGAGAATAAAGCGTATTAATATATAAGTTTTAATAGTAATTAAAATNTTATAATTTATTAATACGACAATTAAACAAAACAACATTCTTTAAACAGACAAAAATGACCGATCACTCAACGCTCCGGCCCAGCACGGCGGAGGGTAAGCACACACTGACTTTATCTAGCGATGGGCCTTATCGCCTTTATGCAAATTTACAGAATACTACAATATATATATTAATATTAGCGGCGATGGTAAGAATATATAATCTTCGCATAATATCTCGGCACTTTCACTGGCGTCGACAACGCGATGTCCTGCGTGATCCTTGGGCGTCAAAAGATTAGCAGCGTAGATGACGACGGTGCGCCAGTGTGGATCAGTTTGTTGACTTTGTCACTTTGACAATGGGAAGAAGACTACGGTATCATTAGCGGCGGTACGTGGTCGGCCGTGCCGCACTTGCTGGACTTTGCACCGCGGCGTATAACGCACGGTGTTGGTCAGTCAAATACTCATAAAATAGGGCGACGGCTGATAAAGGTGGCACGAGTCGTGGGGTATCGTGTATAACGAAACGACGCGGGGCCGTGTCAATCACAAAAAAATTTGTTATATATATATTGTTACAAACAATGAGAACAATAGAAACCCGTTTCCTGACTTACTGAACACCCTGTATATACAATATGTATAATTGATGACACGCACGCGTATACGGGTACGAAAAGCAAAAATAAAAATATACAGGAAAATATTGTTGGTGTCGATTGGTAAGCGGGGTGGGGTGAATGCGTTACGACAGTCTAGTCTCAAGGTCATACACGACGGGATACGCGACGTAATAACACGTGACGCGTGGAGTTACAAACAACAAACAAACAAACATACATGTGAAACTAATATAAGCGTGTTAAGGCACGGTACGGGATTAGAACCCGCGACTCAAGGCGTCGTATAGACAAACCTTACCACTAGGCCACCGTGCACTTATGATTCAGATCCCGATACACTTTCATTTAGGTTGATAACGTGATGTGCGGCTGAGGGAAACACGGTACCGTGTCAAAGTATTTATGTTTTAATTATTTTGTATTGGAGTTTTCTAAGAATTCTGTTAAACATATTACCCTATCGAAACGAATTTGTTATTTTAATGTACAACATCGATTATGGTATTTTTTTTATTTTATACGAGTTCATTATTAATATGAAAAGTATTAAATGCTCGGCAACATCAAAGTAAAATATAATATTTCTTATAATTGTAATTGGTGTTTAATTAAGTAACTCATTTTTCACTTTTTAAATAATAAGTTCTATCAACCTTTTATTATTAAACCAACGAATTTCAATAAGATAAATATAATAATTTTATTTACATTTAAAATGTCTATAACAATAATCAAGGAAATTACGGGGATATAATTATTATATCCTAATCCGATATAATATTCATCGTAATAATAATTTTTGTTAAACTTCCATGGTCATTTATTTATATGAGGTAAGGTGCCAGGAAATAATTATTTTTTTTTTAATTTAGATTATGTAACACGATTTAGTTTAACATATATCTGAAACTCAATCTATTTCCGAAACATTTCAAAACTAATAACAATAAGAAATATTATTATTATTTATTTAGTCCTTAATGGATGTTATTAAAATAAATTAAAACTTAATATAAATCCAACTAATCAAGCTTTTTTATTATAATAAGAAACATATTATACACTCTAAATAACAAGCCTTTACACTTATCATAATAAGAACATCAAGTTCTCACTTTTCATTTATTTAATTAAGCTTTACGCCAATATTTTTGCGTCGCTTATAAAAATTTTATATGGAAAAAATTCTATTTAAAGGAAATTATTATAATACCACATATGTTTTATTATAATAGTTAGTCTTATTATTTTTAAATGCAACGCACAATAAATACGTGTCATTTCATACTTAGTTGAATTGTGTTTCGTTCAAAAAAGTTTTAATTATAATAATAATTAATTATCTTCCATATGTTTTTATTAAAACTTGTTAAGATTAGTGTTTTGTTATTTTACGTGATTTTATACACGAAATCAGAACATGCCAAAAAACATCATATAGAACAGTTAGATAAGTTATTAATGTATTCGGGATGGAAAAATTTAAATGCTGTGAACTTCGTAAAATATAAAAATAAAACATATTTTCTTGAAAAGTTAATTATAACACCTACATATCGATCTTATTGTATGGCTAAAATACGAGCTTTGACTGTACATCTTGGATGCACCTATGCTAAAGTTATACATAATCTTTTTTCAATTATTATCAACTACCTACAAATTTGTATAAATGATAAAGAAAGAAAAATCTTAAAAAACAATGTTTACATTCATACCAAGATATTAATATACATAACTAAATTTATTGTTCCAACAGCAAAATTGATGAAAGGTGCCATAGATGCTTTTGATTCAATACATTCTTTACCATGGGCTAATTTTAACGAAAATAGCTACTGTCCATTCATAATGAGTCCTTTGTTGGGGAGAATAGAAGATATTTTTGACAAATTAAACGAACGAACACTATCACATGATCAAATATCTACATACTTATCGGCATTTAAAACTATACATAAATACTCAGAAATCATATTAAATGATTTAAAAAGCGAAACTAATTCATATTGTGATTTTGTACCTTATGATAGGAATTATTTATGGTATGAATGGATTCAAGAATATAATACCATTAGTATACACTACGAAATATTAGATTTTTTTAAGTTTTTAACCAAAAAACTTAAAGATTATATCAAGTCAGTTATTATAGAAAATTATTTTCAACTAGGATTTAAATTTGATCCAATTACTAATGAAACATTTTTACCATCATCAAAGGAGCTCATTATACAAGGTACTTAAAATAAAAAATATATTAATTAAAATATCATTTCATATCTAATAATGTGTTTTAAAAATATAGAATTGGAACTTAAAGCAACAGATGAAGAACCTCCAACGCTATTAGAAATAGAAAATCATTAAATGTTGTAATAAAATTAATTTTTTTCTGTATTATTGTTATATAATTAATCAAAATTTACTTTATAACTTAGTAAATCTATGAAGTATTATTAAAATATTAACATGAGAACCATACAATTATATTTTGATTGTACACGCTGAATAGTTAAATATAATAGTAATATTAACAATTATAAAAATTTGAAAATTATGTATCAGAATTAAAGTGTAAGTGTTTTTAATGCAAAATATTTTGTTGCTATACTTCCTTCTTCACTTATGTAGAGTATTATTTACTTCTAAAATATTTCCAATAGAAAAAATGAATTCCTATTTCTTTATTTATATCCTGATTATTAGTTTTATGATATATAAGTGTAATATATGAATAAATATACAATACATTTAAATTAATTTCTTAAAAATTTGTTCAACTTTGAAGGTCATTGGCAGAAAGAAGATAGATCGTCGGTGAACATTTTTATATATTTATATTATATAATTAATCACAATTTATTATATTACTCAGTGATATAGTATTTTCACGATACCTCTAAATTAAAATGATTTAAAAAATAAAACGAAATTCACATNCGATTTAAAAAATAAAATGATTAGGGATTTAAAATAGCAACTTTTTTACAAAAATTAACTTTATCAACTTAATTTTTGAAAATGTTCCGGAAATACTGCGTCCTTTAAACATATATCAAATTAAAGCTAATTTTATGTACTACAAAATGAAAAAAAAAAATTTGTCCCGACACTTTTTCTTCTACATTTAAACGGCTGCCGTAGTTAAAGAAACACTATTTTTGTGTTAAAATTTTCGATTTTCGATTTTAAATTTTCAACTTAAAAATGCTATAACTTTTTGAAAAATGTATATATCAGCACAAATTTTTTTTTTATAAATACATTATAAGTACATCTTTCATTTGACATACTTTTTATTAAAATTGGACAATTTCCCCTTATATAGGGGGCGTTCAAAACTTGAAATATTGTAAAAAACATAGATCTTTTTCAACTGAACTTTTGAAAATGTTCCGGAAATACTGCGTCCTTTAAACATATATCAAATCAAAGGTTATGTTATATACAATCAAATGAAAAAAAAAAATTGTCCCGACATCTTATCTTCTATGAGCAAATGGGTGCCGAAAATTTAAAAAAAAATGTAATGTTTGCGATAAAAATTACCTTTTATCGGGATGTTTTTTGTACTTAAAACTGCCATAACTCCCATTCCATTAGATTAGTTTACGTTGGGTTTCATCGTTCTCCCCCACCATTCCATTAGGTTAGTTTACATTAGATTTAGAAAATATTGTTTTCAAATTAAAAAAGTAATTACAGCATAAATTTTGTAACATTTTAAAATTATTCTTTACATAAACATTTCTTACATTTTAATGTTTTAAATCAATCATGCGCAACAAATTTTATGAAACATGTTTTCTTTTAGCTCTTATATACAATGTAAACCAAATATAACTGACAATTCTTATAACTTTTTATACGATGAATATTACATTGTGTTATTTTTTTAAATAAGAATAAAATGTAATAAAAATGTTTTCAACTTTAAAATAGAGCTAGAGTATTTGCTAGGTGCAAGCACCTTTCTTGCAAAAATTATTAATAGATCCATAACAACTTGGAAACCAGTCACTGTTAAGTTACAAGAATTTTAATACATAAAGCAAATATGTAACATGAGTGGAATAAACATTATACATTAACACGAGCTGTAACCATACGCTCTACATGCTTAATTTTTTAATAAGATGCTTGTAAACTCAATAATTACACATCCACAAATTGTTATCAATCCATTAATAATTTTGTAATAAATACGCTGAAAACTGGACAATTTTAAATTAAATAAATATGTTTTTTAATTTTTTATCATTAAAAACAAATATCAAAATATATGATCTTAAAGTTGTATAAAAATACATAAATTTGTTTTAAAAAATTACAAAATAATAATAATTGTATGAAAAGTTTTTGTTTGATCTGGTTCATTCTAAATATTTCTAAATATAACTATAACACATCAAAGTGCATTCTTATGTGTTCAGGAAATAATTAAGAGTCGTTTTGATAGGGTAATATGTTCAACGGGATTCTTAGAGAACTCCAATACAAAATAATTAAAACATAACAGTGAAATACTTCTAATGAAATATTATTTTAACTTAAAATATCTTGTATCTACTAATAAATAGTTGCGTTCACGTACCTTATATAATTAGCTCCTGACAATTAACCTATACATAATATGTAAGACTAACGATACTACATTTACTTTTGAAATTATGGTGATGTGAATTTCGTTCTATCACTTAAAACTATTAAAAAAAACGGTAGCACAGTGGGGTGGCGGCACAGTGGGGTCGTGGCATAGTTGGATCCAGTATAGATGATATCTGACAGTGATTAAAATCACTATCATAAAAAACGCTTCGATGCAAATCTATAGATAGTGTTTAATTTAAAAAAAAAATTTGTTAAAATAGCATATTTTTGAATACGGTAGCCATTTCCGTATAGATGATAGGTCGTCGGGACAAATTTTTTTTTTTNATTTTTGAATACGGTAGCCATTTCCGTATAGATGATAGGTCGTTGGGACAAATTTTTTTTTTTCATTTTATAGTACATAAAATAAGCTTTAATTTGATATATGTTTAAAGGACGTAGTATTTCCGGAACATTTTCAAAAATTAAGTTGAAAAAGTTATTTTTTGTAAAAAAGTTACTATTTTAAATCCCCCCAGTGAGCAGAATAAGTGTTAGATTTTCAAAAAAAATTATATCAAATGAAAGGGAAATATCTAAGAATTCAATTCAAAATAATATTATTTTTATTTGTTCATTTTTGAAAAAGTTATGGCCTGGAGAGGTGGGTGGCCCGGACACATGGTGAGATGTCTTACCGTCTCACGCAAGTGTTGTCCGGCCACGGCTGCTTCAACGAATACCTTCACGGTATTCGGAGGGCAGCCGCGCCGACGTGCGACCACTGCCAGGATCGCCCGGGAGAGGCAGACAACGCTCTGCACACCCTCTTCCGGTGCGAGGCGTGGGCCCAGGAACGGGACTCGCTGGAGTCCCGTCTGGGGTCCACGATCCGCGTCGGGTCCTTGGTGGACCTCATGTTGGGAAGCCGGGAGGCGTGGAGGCTCGTCCAGGCGTTCGCGGAATCCGTCCTGAAAAGGAAGGAGGAAGCCGAACGACTGAGGCAGCGGCAGCCGCGCCGCCCGGTACAGGAGGACCTAAGGCGCTGGTTTAGGCCGGCGCCTTAGGTATAAGTGTG